GATTGCAGCTTAAGGGCCTTTTTGTATAGTCAGTTTGTTAGCAAATATATACACTAGTTTCTTATTGACCACAAAGGGCCAACATGTTGAAGCTATACTTCTTTGGAATGGCATCATATTCCTGGCATATCCCTAGCATTCAAGCTGCAATTTCATCAGTGGGAGAATGAAAATCTTCTTCCTGATAGGCACCCATTGCTATTGCAATGACTTCATGGAATATAGTTGCAAGATACTGCTTATTGCATCCCTTAGTAATATTCTGCACTTTGTACAGATGCCACGGATATAACTTTGGCTGCAACCCTAACCACAACCACCTGATCTTGCTGGCTGTGGCTGCCCCATCATGTCTATTAACATCATGTGCTAAGCTTTAGTGTCACCAGTCAAGCAGCCAAGTAATTCTATGATAGCTTGATGAGTAGCAATAAACTGCTTAATTTAATCAGTACACCAAATAGTCATTTAACCATTTGTTCTCTGCCAAAACATCATCACTTCATTCATCATATTAAAAATGTATGTATTGGTTCTGCAAATCACAAAACCATTTTATACCCCATAACACAGACCTGTTGCATTCGATCCAAATCAGAATATTCTGTGAATTCAAACATACGGCGAGTTTGTCTTTCTATTTCCAGTATCAGTTTCTCACGTTTGGCCAATAAGTCATTTTCCCCTTTACGTTTAGACATTTCAATAATCTGTAAGGGAGAGATGTTAACAGCACACATCTATGGTGATCAATGTTTGTCACATCATTCTCTCACAAGGAGTGACCTTGCACTGAAACAAAAGACCTCGTAGGCCCTCAGTTTACCTGTAATGTTAAACCGGACTAATAGCAAATTTCGTAAGTTCTTTAAAGCTGACTCCATAATTCAAACATTTCTCAAACACTGTAGCTATTAAAGTAAAAATGTATATACATACCTCATCATTTTCATCAAAGATAGGATTAATATTCTGAGGCCATAACAGAACAGTTGCATTCAGCGCCAAGTCTTCTGAGTCAAATAAATAAACATCTAGAAGGTAATTCATTCTCTGCTGGCATTCCTATAAAAGGGATTATTTAGAATTAGAAATAAGTTATTTAATCAGAGAATTAAAAACTAATTAAAAACAGGATTCCCCATTCCTTAGTGTCTGTACTGATGTTCTCTATCATCCAAGACCGTCACTGAATAAATAGCGGAATTAGATCTCAGGCCTGTCTACATGCTCTTTCCCCATTCGTCTTACCACAGGATAAGAACTGAACAACCAGTACGAGACCCGGCAGTGCTTCAAAGTAGGTCAGAAAAGACCCCATGTTCAAATAACCATGGGATCGTCTGTTTGACTTGTTCTTCATTGGGAGGGGTGAGGGGAGATTAGATTCATTTCTCATGTCTCTGTAGACAATTCCAGACAGAAAATGTTTATACACTGCAAGTTGGCTATCTTGTTGCTGTAAATGGGTTTACTGCTATAGTTTCACTTTAAGTGCCTCCAGATGGGAGTCAAGAATTGACACAGAAGAGCCTCAACCTTCTTAAATGGCTGTAGATGTTCTCTGAAGGGGCAGGTCATTCTAGCAACAGGTATGAAATTAGTGACAAATTGTCAGTATCAGGAGCTTGCAGTTAGCAGTTTAGAATTTGGAGGTCAGATGGGCAGTGAATTTGCTGGAGGTGAAGCAGCTTAGAAAATATGCTTCCTCATAGGGAGTTTATTCCCCTCCTCACTTGTGCTCTGTGCGTATGTATTTACAAAAAAGGAAATGAAGACGGGACACTATTAAGTCTCCAGAAATCATTCATCCAAAGGAAATGGAATGTCACAGTTATTACTGCTGGAGCTTCATGATTTGAAGTAGCGGGGTTGAGAAAGACATCTTCCTGAGACTTTGACAAACCACAGAATGTGGGGCATAGACTAGAAGGACCATTGATTTGACTCAGTAGAAGTAGCGTTATATGTGCATGTTAACTCTACCATATATAGGCTGATTGTATGCAAATAGATACCCATTTATACCAATTGTATACTCATTTACCTGGGAGTGATTCCTGTTCAATTCAGTGGGGCTTAATTTTGAAATGTATAGTTCAAATCATACTTAAAATCATACTATTTGGAAATGCTAGGGATTGAACCCGTAAAGCATGTGCTTTGTCACTGAGTTATGCCCTGCTTCTTTAATCAGTTCCATCGTGTTGCATCATTCACTGGGATTAAAGTAAAACTGTACCATACCTCATAATCACACATGAAGTTGACATGTCTCTTAGTTTTACAGTGATATGCTTCCCTTTGTTTTTATATTATCTTTATCTGCCCTCCAACTCTAACTAGGTTGTCGTTTCAATTAAAAGGACTTTTTTTAAGACAGGAGAAATTGATGCATTTAAAATATAGTCCTGGAGAAGAGATTTGTGAATACCCTGGACCCACCCCCCAAGCACACACAGACACACTTTAAGTGGATCCCAGATCAAATCAAACCAGAACTTTTCCTGGAAACCAAAATGTTGAAACTGAGTCTATTGTACTTCAGGCACATCGTAAGGAGGCAAAACTCACTGAAGAAGACAATGATGCTATGGAATTTTGATGGCAGAAGAAGGGGAAGCCCAACTATGAGATGGACTGATTCCATAATGGAAGCTACAGCCTTGAGTTTATGAGAGCTAAGCAGGGCTGTCAGATAGGGTATTTTGGAGGGTGGTCATTTGTAGAGTAGTTATAGAGACAACTTGACAACAATATTTGAATTTAACACAGCAAACATTTTAAAATCTGTTACAAAGGCAGTTCTCCCATAAGTAGGACAGGTTCTAACCCACTTACTCTGCTTCAGTCCCACTGTTCTACATGTATTTATTATGAATTAATGAGTTGAATAACTGGATATGATTAACAGTGCAAAACTATACATTTCTGATCAAAATTAAGCCCCACTGACTTGAACAGGAATCACTCCCAGGTAAATGAGTATACAATTGGTATAATTGGGTGTACATTTATATACAATCAGCCTATATATGGTAGGGTTAACCAAGGCTTAGGAAGTGAAAGATTAGAACTGTGTTCAGCAGCTGGTGAACTGTGGCTGATTGTACAGCAACATAAAGCCTTTCTACACAAGGAATTTATTATACATTTATGATTCCTTATTCACAGTAGTATGTGGCTGTTGTTGATGATTCATTTATATATTTTTTCTTGCAAGTTTTTTTTCCTCTTGTGAGGAATGAGGTAGCTTATTTAGTTCTCCTTCATTCCATTATTATCCTCACAGCAAGCCTGTGAGACGTGTTAGGTTGAATGGCTGTGACTGGCCCAATGCCACCTACTGCATAATTGGGGACTAGAACCTGGACCCAAGTCCCCAATCCAACACTCTAACCACCACATCACAATGGTGTCACATAGCAACTTCTTCTACCTGAGCCTCTCCTGTGCTTTGTAACCTTTATAGCATTTTGTGGAGAGGGATTACTTTCTGTGAATGGTTGAATAAAATTCTGCGTGGGGGGGGGGCAATTCCATTATATTACAGCACAACCCAGTGTTTGTATAATGGAAAATATAGAAAAACAGAGAAAAAAATCCTGAGGAAAACATGTTTGAAATTCTTAATCCTGCAAAGTATCTTGAAGTCTATTGCTGAAAAGTCTCAGTGAAGTGGCAGGTTCAAAGCTTCATACAAAAAAGCCCTGTGATGTGTCGGAGTGAAATACAGAGTGAAATGCTTCTGAAAAATAGAAGGATGGCAAAAGAAAGCACATAAAGAGAACTTGAGGAGAGGTGAATATTATGATGGATAAGAACTGCCAACAATGAGAAATAAAAGTCAGCTAATCCAGTCAGGGGAACATCTCTACAATGTTCCTTCATTTTCTCATGTAAAATGAAATGCAGCTGAGAATAAAATTTGAAACTGATTGGCCCGAGAAAGCTATGTTGTTAAAGGCCCGAAGCATGAACAAACTGAAAGTCATTAAAAATGTTATATCACCTGTCCCTGGGAATATTCTGCAATAAACAGATGTTAATTTTTGCATGTTCTGTCTTCCAGCATAGTAAAAGCCAATCAGCTGAACCAGTCAAAATTCCATTTCCCATTGTGTATTTAGTTAAAATACCCATCTAACATAACATTTACCTTAATCCTTTCATACAGCTTCTGGATGCCTATAGTTTTAGCCTTATCTATGTAGACTATACTTTCCATCATTTCTTCTGTTGTTTCAGGAATTTTTAAGGCACGTTCTTTAATGGTTTCAAATTCATTGCAAATCCTAAACATAATTATATCTTAGTGTCATTATAGGTGTTGCATATTTAAGGCAAAGTCTAAGAGGCTTATTGTGCAATCAGAAGTAAGTTGTATTTAATAGAACTTACCTCCAAGGAAATGTACATAGGATTACAACCCTACTTTGTTTATTCAGAGCCATAGATATTATTTTCCATGGATGAAATCCAGTGTTGCATAATAAGACTTCCACTGATACCAGGGGCATTCCCCATCCTCTTTTCCCCCTGTAGCTCCCTATGTGCTCCCAAAATCTGGTCCATAGGGTGCCCCAAATACCTGAAGATTGGGGGTGGGGCTGTGAAAGGGAGCTGGGTGGAAGGGGAATCTGCTTGATGAGAAGATGCCTTCAGTTATCAGAGTGACATGACTGGATTTTACACCATATTTCCTAGGAAAGCTAACAATTCTTTTTACAATAAGACTAGTTAAAACACCATAAAGTACAATTATTTCAATGCAGGGCTACAGTAACACTCCCCAAACCAAAGAGAACCATCCTTATTAATACTACAAATCTATAGGAAGAATAAAACAGGGATTTCTAGTCTCTGGAAGACCAAATAAAAATTGACTTTGCTAGCTTCATAAAAACAAAGCACATGGGCTTAACAGGTGAGAGAATTCCTGGGCAAATGCTACAGCTCAGACAACATGAGGGAGGCATTCCTTCAGGTAACAATGACCCCCAATCAATTGGGGCTTTAAATGATAAAGCAGCACTTTGAATTATGCTTGGAACACAATGGGTTATCAACTATTCTCCCTAGGAACAGGTGGACTTGGTTTACAGTCAACAGGCAACCCACAATTTGTTAATCATGGGTTCTTTGGCAGTCCCCTACTCACTTCTGCCCCATCCCTGGGCTCGTCTCTGAAATCCAAATCCAGAATTTTGGGTTGTAGAAGGAGAAACAATCCGTAGTTTCTTCTTGGGTTAAAACAATGGGTTGTTTCTCTTTCAACAATGTGGAGTTCCGGGTCCGGATGTCACAAAGAACAACCCAGGGTAGGTTGCCCTTGGGTTATTTAGGAAAGTAACAGGAAATGAGTGGCCAGAAGCCAACATGCTGATTTGTTACTGCACACTACCAAACAACCCATGGGTAACAAACCATGGTGTGTTCGTTGTGTGTGAAATGGATCATTCAATAGGATTTGTTATGCTAAGCTACCTCCAAAAGAGAACCTTTCTTTCCCTCCCCCCCTTTCTTCACTTCTCTTGCCTGGATTTTTGGTAAGATCTGAAATCAAGAAATCCAGTATTTCCAGATTTCCACTGTACACCTCCAGAGTGTAGAGCTATAAATAACAGGATGTATTTTAAAACATGCATTTCTACACAGCTGCAAAGGTAGGGATGCAGTTACCAGCCTTTCTGAAAGAGCAGCTTGAAACAGCAGCATGACCTCCTACTTCTCCCACAACAGCAGCACTGTGCCATGACTTGTTGGGTGTGCTCATACTATAGACTCAAATAATAAAACTCGTGTTACCATTCATACTCCTCCTCCCACAGCAACACTGTGCACTACTGTTATAAACACAGTAAATACTGAGCTGTGTCCATTGCAGCATGTGCCCCATAGTAGCAACTATATTTTAAAAACACACACACAGGCACAATACTGCATCACAAATGATAACTACTTCAGTATAAATCATGCCTGGGCAGAGGGAAACTTCCACGAGCTGTAGGGTATGATTCTAAGCCTTGACTCCCTGTTCTCTTCCACAAAAGATTTTTGCATAGTCTGCTGCATAGGGTAAAGCATTTGACCTAGAACTGATACTGCAGTTCCAGCAACTGCTTATTCCAGTGCAGGGGCAAGGTTACCACTTCATGCTAAACTAAAGACATTAAGTGACCAGTGAAGAACAAGGCAGCCAATGTCATTGTGTACAGCACTGTTAGGACCTGCTTAGGACCAGGCTCTCAGTGTGCAGCAAAGAACTTCCAGAAAAGACTAAAACTAAAAAGAGATAAATTAATAATGCTATGCACATGGCAGTATCTTACTGTAGCATAAGATGGTGTATAGCAAGAAATGTACTCACTTTTTATTTTCTTCCGTGTGATTAAATACTATTACATTCAATAATTTATTTGCAAATCTTTTTGCTTTTTCACCCAAACCTTGCTTCAAATCTTCACAGTCTAAACGCACCATTGGGAAATGAGCTACCATGGGCAAGCTCATTATTTCCTTTGAAAGGTTCAAAAATTCATCTATAAACTTAAAAAACAAAATTATATTTGTTAATTTAAGCTGCTATCTTTAAAATATTTGCATGCCTGAATAGGGCTCAAACCTATATCCAGGAACAGGTTTTACATAAGAATAGGTCCCACAAGAATGTAATGGAACTTACTCATGCACAGGGCAATTGATTTCATTTGAATTAAATTACTGATATTAATCCAGATTAAGACCGTTTAAAATGGACACTACGATGAGCTGCTAACTTGGTGGCCCTCAGGTTTGGTGGTTTTGTTATTAAATGCCAGGTTGGTTCATAGTAAGGTCTCCTTCCTCCACATTTGATTAAGGATGGCATGTATTACTGAAACTAAATGCCCACTTGGATACTTAGTTCAGCACCAACATCATATGGAGGGCATGGGATGGGGGATCACCATCGTCTATAAGGATTTTATCTCCTCCTTCAGGCTTCCTGTCTCTTTAGCAACAGGTCTTGAGTGTCTGTACTATGTGTTGAGTTCCTGAGACATATTAGGGATTCTGCTGCTGTACCACCTATTTTGCTGCCCAGCAGTCTCCATGTCTAGACTGAGAGAGACAGCCTTGCACCTGGTCTTGAGGACGTCCCTGGACACCTGTTCTGAGGTATGTCAATTTCAATGCCCAGGCTGCCTTATCTGGGGTGGCTCAGGACTTCAGGCTCCCATGATGACCATAGGGCGGTCTCATCATGTCATTGACCCAACATGTGAAAACAGCCTGGTTTTTTTGAGAGGACAGGTGGTTTGGATGCGGAAGGCTTAATTCTAGCCCCTTTGTCATAGTTGAACCAGTTCCTGGTCAGGTTTGGATTTTTGGTCACTTTCCCCCTCTGCAAAGCGTTCTGGGGAATTATCCAGTTGATATGGCTGGCACTCCTGCTGAAGCCCTTACCCCTCATGGTTTCTTGGAAAAGCTGAGGAGGGAATTCATACCTGGGCCCAGGATGTTGGCAATACTTCATTAAGAGAGTGAGTGGTCCTTAAAGGAGGCTATGATAAGACCACTCCTAAAAGAACCAGGACCAAGGGGTGGTTACCAACTATAGACCAGGTGTTAGAACAGGTTAACAGGCTGGCCAGGTTGTGTGTTGGAAGCACTGCTTTGCAGTGGTTCTGCTCCTACCTGGTTGACCAAGACAAGAAGGTGGTGCTGGGGATGCTCTGCCCCATGGTTGCTAGGACATGGTGTTCCACAGGGGTCTATACTATCCTCCATGCTCTACAACATCTACATGAAACTTCTAGGAGAGGTCATCCAGAGGTTTGGGCTGCGATCTCAGTTCTACTTCTACTTTACATCAGATCCAGGTGAGGTGGTGTTCATCCTGAACTGGTGCTTGAGCTCAACAACAGGTTGGATGAAGGCCAATAAATTTAAACTGGAAACTAATCCAGACAAGATGGAAGTACTTTTGGTGGGTGGCCAGTTGGATGGGTTGAATGGCCTATACCCTGTACTAGATTGGGTCTTGCTTCCTCTAAAGGACAGAGTTCACAGCTTGGGAGTGCTCCTGGATCCAAAACTCTCATTTGAATCCCAAGCAAACTCAGTGGCCAGGAGCATCTTCCTTCCACTGAAGCTAATTTATCAACTATGGCCCTATATTGACACACAAAGCTTAGACAGTCATGCACAACCTGGCAACACTCCCATTGGACTACTGCAATGTGCTCTATGTGAGGCTGGCCTTGAAGACAGTCTGGACACACCAAATGATTCAAAATAGGGCCACAAAACTTGTAACAAGAACTAGTTAAAGGACCCATATTACACCAGTTTTGTATCATTTACACTGACTACCAGTGGAAGACTGGGCCCAGTTTAAAGTGTTTGCACTGAGGTGGCTAGATGGGATCACTGGGGCACTGGGTGTGGGCTTAGGTGGACTCAATGGTGGAGGACAGAAGAGCCTGGAAGAATGTTGTCCATGGGGTTGTGGTGGGTTGGACATGGCTTTGCGACTAAACAGAACAGAACTTACATATAAAACCCTAAATGGCTTGGGCCCTGAGTACCAGAAGGTCCAATTATGTCCCTATCCATCCACTAAGATCAAGCCAAGAAGAAGAACCTTCTTACAGAGCCATCTCCCAGGAAGCTGAGGGGAATGGCAGCTAGAAGAAGGAACTTCTTGGTGGTTGCACCCCACCTCTGGAATAGGCCCCCCAGAGAGGTGTGCTTGGCGCCATTATTGTTATCATTTTTGCACCAGGCGAAGACATATCTTTTCTCTGGCTATTTTAATAGCTGATTGTATTTGTTATTTTGATTTTAATTAAACCATATTCTTGGCTTATAGTTCAATTTTAATTTCAAATTGTTCATCTAAAAGTTTTTAATGCAATGATTTTAATTTGTGGATTATATTTCTTTATAAATTTTGATGTTTGGTTAATGTTCTAGTATCACAGATTTTTTCAATCTTATGTTGTTTTAATTGCTCGTAAGCCACTCAGAGAGTCCAAGTATGGGTTAATGTAGTGGCATATACATTGAAATAATAAACAAACAAACAAAGTTTAATGCACACATAGTTCAAAGTACCCAGATTACCAAAGCATGAAAGGAGAACATTGTGACCTGATTTCATGATTACCTCAGCCAACCATTGCTTATTTATGGCTTATTGTGTACCCAAACCTGGAAAGCATGAATGGTGCTGTGGTTAACATATTACCGATAGCCCCAAAATAGCCCATATGTCATTTGATAACTGCACCAACAACCCTCAGATGACACAATAAACCACAGTGACTGCCTGTAGAACAGGGGTCTCAAACTCGCGGCCCGCGGGCCAATTGCCGGGAGGGGCGGGGCACGGGGGAGGGGCCCTGCGGCCTTCAAAGCGCCGGCGGCACCCGGGCCGGCCGTGGGATGAGCGGCCCACCACCACCACGGTGCTGGAATACTTGATGCAGCCCAGCCTCACACAGACTCCAGCGGCCCCCAGGTAAGTTGAGTTTGAGACCCCTGCTGTAGAAACTGCACTGCTCTTTAACACAATTACATCAAGCTCAGAATGAAGGATAGGTGTTGGATTCCAAGAGCAGCCAAGACATTTTATTTATATTGGCAGATGGATTAGCTATAAATTACACCTGAAAATTACCTCGGTATATTCATCGAAACTATGTTCCTCAGCAATAAATTTTTTAATACGGTCATCTGCAGCACCATCTACTAGCCAGCCATAACGCTCCACTGCAAGACATCAGAACAAACATATACCAGTGTAATTTCCTTCACAGTGTTGATTTAAAAACATTATCTTGAACAACCCCATCATAAAACACTTACCATAAGAATCAAAATGTGCTTTTGCACCTTTCAGATTCTCATGAATTGCTGTCCTCAGTACTGATGATGCCCATGATATCACATGCTCAGGAAGTTCAGTGTCGATATGTGTAACAGTGCTTGCACCTCCTAACCAAGAATGTATTGTCTGGACATTCTATTCAAAACACATACAAGAGTTACCCAGAATTTTTAAAGTAATAATTTCATAATACATAGCTATGTTTACATTTGTCGGACTTCTTATTGTAAATTCATAATAAAAATAAATACTTGGTTGAACTTTTAGCTTACTTTGTATAGATAAATAAATTAATATGCTCCTTATGCTTGCTTTAAACCCTTCCTTTAGTGGAAAATTTGACTGCATCACTCTCAGTAGGGTCAGCAAGGGCCTGGCCTCCAGAATCCTAGAATCTGCTCACCCAAGTGTTCCTAACCAGTTTATTTATTACAGTCACATACTAGGAGCTCATAATCATGATGTTGTATCTTTATGTAGATTATAGATGTTCTTCCTTCACTAATTACAGCTCTTACTTTTTGACTAATGTCACTATATTTGATGCCCTATGAGTTCCTAATGACTATCAAATAACATTCAACATGGACATTCCATACATAACAGAAGTAACTCTGAAATGTATTACATAAATACACTAATACATAGTTGATACAATACCCCAAAAGCAAATGAATGGCCACAAGTAATGCATCTAGTTTATAGATTTGCAGATTTAAAAATGTTAAATATTAAAATTTTCATAGATTTAAAATGTATCTCTAAACAATTTTTAAAATATGAAATGTTTGATTATAAAATACCAATGAATGAAAATGATATTTTATATTGAAATGAATCACACATGTGCATCATTTTAAATGTAAGGATTGTTAAACTTTTTAATTTTATAAATGTTGACATGTTTGAATGTTTAAATTATTTTCACATTTTTAAGTCTATAAAATTACTGATGGTCATTTGTTTGTTTTTGGAGTACACTACTTAATGTAAAATTCCATAAAGTTGGAGGAGCATTAAAATTTATTAGTTTTATTAAATGCTGTTATAGTCACTGAAGTACCTAGAAAAAATGTACACTGGAATCCAAAATACTGATATACCCCACAATGTCTGTATGCTGTATATATGTCACATTACAAATGCTCCTCTTATACGAAGAAAGGAGGAGGAGGAGGAGGAGGAGGAGAGAAAAACATATTGAAGGTGATGACCGTATTCTTTTTAATGGAGTGCAGCCCTATTCATGAAATTAATGGGAAAGTCCAGGCAGATGAGCTCCATGCACAAACTGCACCTCAAATGGCACTCTTACTGTAGCTTACAAATATAACTTAAAATTCCCACAGGGAGAACCCAGCTTCACCCTGCCTTTGTAATACATTCAACATATGTGTTTAACAGCAGTTCACATGTTAATAGAGTTTGCTACACCTTCCCCATGCTTTAGATGGATGTATTCTTTAAGCATTGCTCACAAGCTTGTTGAATTTATTTGTTGCATTTCATACTTGAACTGGCAAATTCTTTTCCTTTAACCTTTTTTGTGAGGAGGTCACAAAAGCTGGGCTGTCAAGCCAGCTTTCTTAATGCTTGTTTTGACAACTACAAGCAGTCTCGTCAGTGTGTCCCAGCGGCACCTTGCTTGTGCTTTGCAAACCCTTTTTTAAAACAAATTATTCAAGCTGCATAATTCTTAAAAGAAAAACTTGCAGAATTGTTAAGCTAGCTGTCAAAGTTTTGGGTCCCTTTAAAAGAAAAGATTGGATAATGGAGTTTTTTGACTGGGATGGGCATGTCAAAAACATCCAGTGTATTGTCAAAACACTTTATACAAGGACCCAGAGTTTTCAATCTCCTGAAAAAGACTAATAAACAGAAGGGGAAAAGGGCTGCAGCAAGTCCAAAATGGCTCAACATTGCGATCAGGAGCACAAAAACTAGTGATGGTTGCCCACAAGTGCTTGACAAAAGTTGCAAGGGTGGCAAAGGTCTGCCAAAATTAGCTTTACAGTTAATTTCCCCTATTCCATTGGCCAGGTTTGGAGACCGTAACTAATCATCAACAGAACAACCCCTGGGTTCTTGGGGAGGCTTGCTGCCCACATTCAACCACAATGGGAAAACTAGTGTAGGTTTGGATATGGGTTGTCATGAGAACCCAGTCAAAGTCTCAGAATGGCTTTAAACAGAAGTATCTTTGATACCACAGGAGCCATCCAATCAGCATTGTGCATAGCTGCTTTCTGCAACAAATTCACAGAACTAATTTCCCTTAAATGCAGCCTGGCCAGCAACAGATATTTTTGACCAAACTCTTTCCTGATTACTAGCTCCACTATCTAAGCAATGGATATTTTCATATCCCTAAACCAGGGTGAGTAACACTGAGTATCTGTAGTCTTCTACATACCTAGCATAGATTATAACAATTAAGTGAAGGCAAATCCTACTGATTTCCATAGGATGAGATATGCTTGGTTGAAATGTGTTGTAAGATTTGGGATGATCTGCACAAACGTTGAAATTTAATTCAAGTATATTGGACCTTACTAGGACTGATGTACAAGTTATTGAGCATCTACCATTCTTAAACAATGTATCAAATAATAACAAGCTGAACTGAACCTGCAGAGTTTGTGAAAGCAAAATGACTATCAACAAAATAGCATCCTCCAGATCTTGAAAGTTTGGATAAAAGTCCATTTTCTCATCATCAAAAGTCAACTCCATCTTAAACAAAGGCAGCCATCTTTGGTCATCAAAATCAAATAGTTTTACATATGCTTCAACTGTTCTTTTCAATAATTCCTTGAGCTGAAAAAAGATCACAGATAGCTTTTGTAAAATATGTCTATTTTCTTGCACAGCAAATCCTTATATACTGACATACATCTGTTATTAATAGCAGGAACATTTTCTACAACCTCAGGCTTAAAATCTGCCTGCCTAACATAATTCCTAACTAATTTGTAGAATTTTAATTATATAAAAATGTACACGCTGAAATTTGTTATAAAGTATTACATTTTAAAGCATGAACTACTGAAGTCATGTTTACTATACTTGTGTCTGTTGCTATGCCTGCTGAAAAAAATGACCGTAAGTAGTGATGTGCTGATGCTGGGAATTCTAGCATGGGTGACCTACCTTCTCACTTGTTGCAGAAATCAGATGCAGGCCAAGTCAATTATTTTTCCACAGGAAGGAAATGTGCGCAAATTGTGCAATTTGTGTAAATGTACACAATGCGCACAAATCATGGTATTTTGTGCATTTTGCACAAATCAGCCCCTGAAAAGTATGTGGTTCCAGCAAAATTTGCATAAAATTGGCCAATTTCCACAAACTGGGACAGGAGAAGCACATGAACTTTTAGCAATTACTGAAAATAACACAGAAGCCAGGTGCTTTTCCACGCCAATTTGTGCAAATTGGCCAATTTTATGCAAATTTTGTTAGAACCACGTTTTTTTGTGCTTTTACACAAATTTATTTAATATTTTTGTAATATGTAAATTGCAGCCCATTTAGAAACAGAAGTTTGTGAGATGGCTCAAATTGCACCATACTGAGTCAGAACCAGCATAAAATGGTGACATAGAATACAGAATCTCTTCCATCACCTTCTCCACATATCCCTAGCCATATGGAGCAATGGAACCATGTTCCCTCTCCCTTTGGTATGCAGCTTGTAAGTTATGCCTGCTTCTCAGCTCTCATTGCTGCAACATTTTATTTATTAATTTAAACCATTTATAGCCTGCCTATCTGCTGGAAAATTAATGGAACAAATGAAATAAAATTTTGATGCATATAAAGAAAATATTCATAACTGTTTCTAAATATTATAGTTGAATAATACATATATCCAACTATTAGTAATACTAAATTTTTTAAATAACATTAATTAGTCTTTGGAGGACAATGTCATAATTTTTTAAATCTTATTTATTTTATTCATTTTTATACTGTCCAATACACAAGGTTCTTATTTCCTTAAAAAAAATCCACTTGAGAAATCAGAACTTCCAGGTACAAAGTTTCCGACACACACACAAGTTCCTGTTTCTTCCACAAGAGCTTTCTAATACATTTCAACAAAGGGCAACTTCAAAATTATATTGGTGGTGCACACTTGAGACTCTGAATAGGCCAAGTATTTGACCATCAGTGAAATAAACAAGCTTTACCTGGTTAGACATAAGTGTAGCCACACAATTGTAGAAAGAATCAACTTTGTCGGGCTTTACACCCTCCAGTGCCTCTTTTCTGGTGAAAAGATTGATAACCCTTGGATACCATGTGTTTAATATTGTTTCTTCAGTTTTTAAGCAGCTTATAGACACATCATTCTGAAGTGTTTCACATTCAAGTGGGCCTCTTGACCTACCAAAAGAATAACAGTGATCTGAACAATGAAGTGTATTAACAAAGCCAATTATATGGCCTATAAAATGCAATCAGGTATAAAGAAGGCTTGCAGTATAATATTTATGCATTTGGCTAGCAAGCCCATATGTTATTTGAAGAAAACAACGTTCAGGAATATTAGGCATATTTGTTACCAAAAAAAGAATCATAGAAAAACCAGTGACACCAGCAACAAAATGTTACAGTGTAAAGTGTTCTGAAAGATTTCAGTCAATCAGTAATACCCTCTTCCAGATTACCTTCCTTTCTCTCCAGGTTATAACTTCTTTCTACCAACAGCAAGTATTCTGTGTCCACTTGGCATGCTCAGTCTTCTTTGACTGGGTTGTGTGACACACTGACACAACAATTCAACATTGGTTGCTACATGTAATATTTGGTCATGTTGTGTGATCCCAGTCTGATTTTTCCAGGGTTCAGAGAGACAGAGAAGCCCAACTAGCTTGTTCTAGGGATTGTTGTGCTCATGAAGGGTTGTTGTGTCATCCAAACCCAATGGCCAAGCCCATGGTGGGTAAGCCAAGTTGGCTAAAAAAAAGGTTTAAAAGGCAAAAGCTGCAGTGAGCCTGAGGTGGCTGGTGGTGGCAGCAGGGAGAAATGAAATATTTCATTCCTTCCATAGTATCCGATAGCATACCCACAGAAGAACTGAGGGGGAAGGGAGGGCTAAGGGGAAAGGAGGGCTAACAACTCATAAGGACTTGCCCTGGGTTGTTTGCACAACCACCAGGCCACTGTGCCTTATGGCCAGGGTCAGTTGCCCTGATGCAAATATACTTACTGGGCTATTTTGAGATCACCTCTTTTTCAGGATATTGTCCTAGTTATTTTGTATATCTGCAAATCTTAGAGTTTCCCATGCCTTCTGCTACCTCCCTTTTGGGTGTGAATGATGCTGTTTTACGTACATAAGTAGCCACACTCGGACAATGAGTTCACCTTTAGTATATAAGTTAATAATAGTAATAACATATCATAAGAAATAACTCATTGAGGTTGCCCTGTATCTAGAATGTTAAGAAATTAGGCTCAATTTATTTACTAAGGAGTACGTTTCAGTAATTCCATGGATATTACTTAGAAGTAAACACAGAGCATTGTTCTCTCACTGTGACAATCAGAGGAGCAATCCTATGCATGTTTAGACATAAACAAGGCCTACAACTCTCAGCATGCTCCAACCTTGTTTTCATCTAAACATACATAGAACTACACATTAGGGTGCAGCCCTATGTGCACTTTCCTGTGAGTAAGCACCATCAAGCAAAGTGGCAACTGCTTCTGAATGAACATACATAGGTTTACATTGTTAAGTGGTTCAACATAAAGCAATATAATAAAATGGTGTGCCTAATCAAATTACAAACACATTTGTATTTAGAATATTAATTCAAAAACACACGTTACCTGAAACTTGACAAATCTACTATAAGTAACTTGGAGAAGGTTTTGTAACCGATATCAAGTAAAATTCTTAGAGTTGGATGGAGAATATGTAAATTTTCAAAAATCTGTTTTCTTGCTTGTACAAAGCTTTTATGCCAAGGCCTGGAAAAGTCTAATCCTCTGGTAAAATAAATAAAATGAAGCTATTAGGCAGAAACACATACAAGAAACTTAATGCCTTTGATTAACTGATCACAGAAATACTTCCCCACCTTAAAAATCTAAACAGTTTTAAGACTTCAATTTTTCCACTTTGGAAAAAATGCTGCTCCTTACATATGATGCAATCTTATGCATGTCCTAAAACTCCCAGCATCCTAAAACTCTTCTCAGGATTCTGTCTTTTCTAAGCATCCAGTTTGAAGGGGAAAGTATTCTGGAGAACACAGTGAGGAAGACTTGAAGCCTGAATCCGCTGTTTAGGCCAGGGATTCATACACTTCAGCCAGTATTTGAGTTCTGCCATCTCAGAAGTGACCACAGCTTGTGATTGCTCCATAAAGTTACTGAGGGCACACTTTTCTTGCTGCATAAGTTTTATTTGATTTTATTAGTGAGGATTCAATGATAATCCTAATAATTTAATATTAAATATTAAATAAATGTAATAATTCAAATGATAGAAGTTGAATTTTCTCATACACACACACACACATGTTCACATTGAATAATGTTCTACCAATAAAACACTTCCAGTTTAAAAGGAATAAGCTGTACTTTGAAGTTTCCAGCAATCCTGGTACCAATTCAAGCACAAGTGCTATCCCTTTAAATTTCTGCCAACTTGCAGCCAAGGCATTTCTTCTTTTTAGCATGTCCAGTACAACTCTCTAATAAAGGAATGGGAGTACTACCATGTTTTTGAATACAGTCATTCCATTTATTTCAGCAGATTTTTGTGGGCCTTATGCAACATGAAATGATACATAATATAGACATAAGCATTGTCCTGCAAATGATATAGAAAGAGTATGTCCTGTGTGTCTAGACCTTTTCCATCCTGAAGACTGGCCTCCATTTGGGAGAAACTTTGAGAACCACATTCCTGGTGCCAATGTTATATTCATTTTGCCACAGGCAAAAACCTTTTTATTTGCTCAATATTTAAATATTTAACTAATTTTAATCTAATTATTCTCAGACACAGCTTATGTTTGTTATGTAATTTTATTTTGCTTTTTATTTTATTTATTGTAATTGATTATTATGTTGTAAGTTGTCCTGGTACATTTGAAAAGGACGGGGTAGAAACACTGTAAATAAATAAATAAATAAAAATTTAGGAGGGGCTCCTGCCATTTCCCCCCGTTCTCTTGAGACCAACATTGTGGCCTTGGAACCTTGGGGAAGTCCAATAAGTGGCCAACCTGTACCATCCAGTCACAAAACTGAAGGAAAATAAAGAACCAAGCTGTTGATACCAACATTAGGTTGATGAGTGGATTGTGTGAATGCACAGGTGACCACTCAAAGAATGGCAGTTACAGATAAGAACCTTATTTTCTTTTTCATGCTCTCTGTGCATCACTCATATAGGTGACTAGTGATCATACCCTGAGATGAGAGGGGCAGGTGTCATCAATGGAGGATCACTGACAGAACCGCTCAGACAAAGGAGCAATCCTGCCTGGCATGGACATCAAGCCAGTAATGCCAGATGAAGGTCAATGGAGTGGATCACATCTCCACTCTGCAGAGATCCCACAGTGGGATGCTGTTGTGCAGCACCTCAGACCTCGCCTTTGCCCTGGTGGAATGTGCATGGAGTCCAGCCTGTTGTCTGTGCAGGTGTTGTCCCTGTTGAACAGCAGTTCTTCAATCCTGGAGTGAACCACTTGGGAGAGGTCCAAAGCTAGGCATGGCACCAGATTGCCACTACACCAATGAGGGTCTTGGTGTCATAGTCAATGTGGTGGCAGGTGGTGTTTATCTAGTGCCTGGAGAGATGGAAGGCCTCCAATTGACACACCCTGGCCAGGTCCCTGCATACCCTACAGAAGGTACTCTACAAGGATCCCCATCTTCTCCCACAGGAAGAGCTGCTAGCATCCTATGGTGGTCTCATGGTTGGAGATGCACAATCCCAGTGCCACCAATGAATAGACCTGCATCACCATCGATTCCGCTCAGTGCCCCTCTCAGCCAAGCGTTCCTTCTGCAACTAACCCTGTGCTGACTCAACATTCACCAAATACAGTCATGGAGTTTGTAGTAAAAGGGTGATTTCCTGCTCCTGGATGCGGTACATGCTCTCCAAGTGCCATGATGTTGGTTGCAGTTGTGCGAATGCCTTCCATGATTCCTTCATGGATGTGAGGAGTGTTGGAAGGAACAGAATGGACACTGGTATGGAGTCCTCCATCCAGAGGGGTGTCAAAGAATGCATACACTGCTGGTTTGGCAAGCTCCTGTGTCCCCTGTCCCTGTGACATCACCATCTGGAGGATAAGCTTGGAGAACAGGCCTACATTTTTGAAGGGGGAATCCCAGTTCCTGGGCTGTGATGATGTTGTCTGGTGATGAGGTGAGCAGGTCATCAAATAGGGCTGAACTGGAGTTGGATGTGTAGTGCTCCAGGACCGATGATAGAGATTCCTGGCAGGATAGTAAGGTGAGGTAGGCACACTAGGTGGGGTGGGCAGCTGAGGTGCTGGAACAGGCAGCCTGCATTCCTCAGGTTGGTAGACCAGGGCTTCCCACTAAAGGAACTAGGGGCTGACAGGGCCTTTCCCCTTTTCGTAGCCATGGTAGTATAGCTGAAGCAGTGGCAGCATCCAATAAGCCTCCAAGTCAGATCAGGGCTACTCCTCCCTCAGCTGATGGCTGGAAATGCAAGATGACATGACTGAGTAGCCTGTGGTCCAAGGTGGCAAAGAGTCAGTGGCTAAACCTGTGGGTGGCATAGTACACAGTTGCTCCTGCTGCAAGGAGAACAGCACTCTCAAAGGTGATATGACATATGGGGGCGGGTCAGAGTGTGTGGTGGTGAGAATTTGATCTCCCACTTCAGAAAAGGACTGCATTCCCTCTGGTTCCACTGCTGGAATGGTCTGCGGTGTTGTCAGGACCAGTGCATACACCAGCACAGTCACAGACAAATGCTGGTGGAGAATGGTGACTAGGCTGCTTCCTGTGTTTGGCCTTCTGCATCTCAGCCACCTTTTTGGGCTTCTTGGCAGCTTTTCACACAGTGGCCTTGTCTATGCACCAAGACATAGAAACCACAGATGGAACGGGTGATGGAGCCCCCACAGCTGCCAATCGGTGGCAGGAAGATGGAGTGGCCTGAAATGTAGAAAGGGTGCACAGGTGATGCTGCTACAGCCGAGTCAACAGTCAGAAGAGCACAGTTCCAAAGTTTGGCCCAGAGCTACCCCAGTTTTTCTCAGCCTGCCCAGTGAAAGCCTGGCAGGGCATGCAGGCTTCCACACAGTGCCCATGGGAGTTAGGTAATCTCCACAGTGGAAACACTTCCTAAAGGACACCTCGAGTGCCATTGGGAAAGAGAAGAAAAATAGAGCAAGACAAAGGGATAGACTGAAAAAGAGGTGACAATAAGAGTACAGGGTTGTAAGATTATTTTTTTTAGAAAGCTAGGGATAAAGTAGGGTTTTCTAAACAAAAAAGTGAAAGAACAGAGCTAATGAACAAGTCAAGAAAGAGAATGCAATAAAGATCAAGGAAAGTCAAAGGAGAATACAAAGACCATGCACAGAGGAAAGCTGAGGCACCCACAGTGGCAGTCAGAAAAGAACTGGGAATAATGGTGGGAGCCCCTCTAAGATATACTGGGAGAGAGAGAGGAGGGGATCCTGCCAGAACAAGTCTAACTTGGAAATCTTCCCAACAGGCCTCATGCAAGAACAGAGCCCGTGTGTGTGATGCACATGGACCATGAAAAAGAACAAGCTCAAGGACACATTCCTAAACTATGGTTTACTATTAGCTCTGGACCAGATTAGTTAATGTTCATTCATATAATAGCCACAAGCAAACAGAAATGACCAGGCTGCTTCCTACTGTGTGTATTATCAACAGGGTTGATTAGATCCAACAGTGTGTATTGACAGAGGTTCAGTAGTATACTCACACAGGTTCTACTGGCAAAGGTCCCTCTTTCTCATACTCAAGCAATTTTACATCAGGCTTGACAAGAACACTTCGCACTAAAACATATTTGGAAGGTGTGACAATATTATAAATTGGGAAAGATTACTTAAAATAAGTACTTAAAAAGCTCTTTTTTATTATTTCCCATATGAATAGGATTGCTCAAATTTTTAGTTCCTCCAAAAGTGTTCATGGGAAATGGATTATATACTGCATATTAGCATAAAATATATCTATTTTAATTTAATTCATTTATTTCCAATTAGCTCTTTCTAAAGTTTCATAATTTTAATAACCAATTGTTAACATTTATTTTCTTTCTGAAAACTTATATTGACATGTGCCAGAATATGGTGCAGTGTAGAGGCTGAGGTTCAGCTTGAATTCATTTCTTGTTTCAACCATCCAGCTAGCTAGGTTGTCAGAGAAATAAAGACGTTAAATATAGCCCGGCTCATTAGGCCCTATCCAGCACAGTAGCAGCTATCCAATGCCTCTAGAAAAACCATAAGCAGGCAAGTCATGATTTCTCAGCCCCCAAACACTAAACTAACTATGATTACAATGCTGCCCTTTCTTATAGGGCTGGTTTATTGATGAGTTAATATATATAAAGTCCTATATAAATGCTAACCACTCTTAAGAATATAAACAATATATTAGCATGTTTTAACAAAATTAGAATAATTAGGAAATATCACAAAGATTTGATATTTACAAGTATCAATGTAATTTTTCCTAACTGTTAAAACAAGAATTTATATAGTGGAAAGCCAAATACATTTGGTTTATATATGAGAAAATAAATTGCTAAGGGACAGTTTGCATTATCAGTGAAGGCATGATATAAAATATAACCTAGTATAAGGTAGGACTACTAGTGCAACTTACCCATATATCTCTTCATGCTCATTTCATAATCATTTGTTACCTCAGTTAAAAGCTCTTCCACCAGTTTCTCTCTCTCTTTGCCTTCCATTAGATTCTGAGGTACCAAAGTGAGCATGGAAATTAACCACTCTTGCTGAATGGGCACCACTGGGTTACTTTCAACACATTTCTTCATAAAGAGATAGTTGGTCTGAAATGACACCGCAAGCCAAGTTAGAGAAGACCAAACATGAGATTTTCCATTGTTCAAATGACAAAGGCATGAGTTCTTGTAGTAAATTTAATTTATCCTGGCCAGAAACTTTTACAGGAAACTAGTCAAATGCTTTTTAGCCAGTTTTGGTATTCATATTAAATCCAGTAATGGAAGAGTAACAGCTCTTCTATGGTGAGCTGTCTCAAGGAAAGCGATCGCATGGGGAACAAAAGAAGCGATACAAATACACGCTGAAAGCCTCTCTCAAGTCCCTGGTTATCGACACCACCTCCTGGGAGACCCTGGCACAAGACCGATCAACATGGCGCACACTGATCCACCAAGGCTGCCAAACTTCTGAAGCCAGAAGGACAACCACAGCACAAGAGAAGCAAACACTACGTAAAGCCAGGGTTGCAAACTTTGCAACAGTGGTGCCCACACATGTCTGCCTGACATGTGGCAGAACACTCCATGCCCGTATTGGCCTTATCAGCCACCTGCGGACACACCGTGGACAACTCACAACCCGTTAGATGTCAAGGTCCTCATCGAAAACGATGGACGAACAGCATCAGTAATGGAATATAAATTAAATACATTTAATATGTTAAAATAATAGTAAAATATCAACTACAGAACAGTAATTCTCAACTGTAAAATGTATTGTTTTTGTACAGGTGCTACAAAACAGGTTATGTCCCCTATGCTGTATGAAGAGGAACATAATCAACTAAAGATGGCACTGAATCAGTAGAGAATGGTGATTACCAAGAAAACTGTCTTAGCAAAAAAAGAAAAGAACAAGTAAATACTGTTGGACAATAGTTTTCACAACCTAGTCACAAAGTTGCAAAAATGGCTAGCCTGCATAACTTGGGACCCACAAGTCTAGACACTCTTCATTACTATTGTTTGCACTTTTATGTATTTTTAAATGTCTATTCCACTTATTTCAAAAGAAAAACCAACAAAGCTAGCAAAATAGTAATAAATTCAACCAAGCTAATTGCAGGAATAATGACAGAACAGCAAAATAACAATAACATACAACAAAAACAATAACAATAGCATATTGTTAACGTATGTTAACAAACAATAACATACAAAACAACAATTTTGTAATAACAAAAATTAGAAGTCAAGCAAAACTTTCAGCACAACAGTAGAAAAATAAACCAAGTTGAACCAAGTCAAACTGTACCAACCGTCTATGGGAAAAGCCACATCTTAGGTACAATCATGTACAATCAAATACATGAATAAAAGTCCTACATCTCCTACCACTAGCACGTGAGCCAGTGGGCTGAAGAATGCTAGTAATTGTAGTAATTTTCTTGTATTTAAACATGCATGGAATTGTGACCTTAATCTGACAACAGAACAAGCTTAACTTTGGACAAGGTAGGCTTCTTAATGCAAAGAGTTCTATAGTATGCTCACTACAACTATTAAGACCTTGCTCCTGATGTTCACCTGCGGTACTACAAATAGCAAGGAACCCTAAAGTAAGCCTCTCCCCTTGATTCAAGTGCACAGACACAAGGGTGAGGATAATATCAGGAAAAAGGTAGTGTTCAATGAGATCTGGGCACAAGTCATATATGATTTTAACAGTTCAAACCCAGTTTCTTAAATGAATCATGTAAAGAAGTAGGTAATCTATGAAAATATAGCTGGAGTAATATGCTGCATCCAGCCAGTACAAGACAATAGTCAGCTGTGGTATTTTGGATGAGTTGAAATTTCTTGGATGCTTTCCAAGTACAGACTCAAGTAAAATGCTTTACATTCTAGGCTCACTATGGCCAGGCCAGTGTTTCACCGGACAAATGTGGTAAAAAGCATTCAAAAGATGCTTCCAGTTAAGGCTTTTTATTGTGTAATCACGTTGCCTCATTTTATGGGAGGACTAGCTGATGTCATCTTCAATTTGTAGTGCATCATGTTGTTTCACTGCTTCTTTGTCCTACCACACACATATGCAAACAAAAATTTTACAGAAGGGAAGGCAGGACAGTTGTACAATGTCTTCTGACCATTAGCGCCAGGAAGCTCTCTGCCTACAAATACTCCTACATACATAGCGCCAGGTACAGGAGCATTCCCAGACTTGTCACAGGCCTTAAGGAGTCTCCAACTTACAGTGACCCTATGAATGAATGTCTTCCCAAAAGTACTGTCCCTGACAGATTTGCTCAGCTCTTATAAATTCAAGGCTGTGGCTTCCTTTATGGAATTGGTTTATCTCATAATTGGTCTTTCTTTTCTTTCTTTGACTTCTAACAAACTGTCTTCTCATGATGTGTTCAAATTACAAAAGCTTCAGTTTTGCAATGTTTACTTCAATGGAAAATGCTGGCTTGATTAGATCTGGGACACACATCTTTGTTCTTCTATTGATCCGGGATATTTGCAAAGCTCTCCTCCAGCACTGTTTTGAATGCATCAATTTTCTTCACTGTCCAGCTTTCACACCCATACAGTGAATAGGAGTACAATAGTGTGGATGATCTTGGTATTGGTCACCAATGAAATATCCTTACACTTGATTATCTTTTCTAGTTCTTTCACTGCTACCTTTCCAAATCTCAGTCTTCTTCTATTTTATTTTTTGCCTGCCATCTGTTTGAATTGATGATTGAGCCACAATATGCAAAATCCTTTACAATTTCAATTTCTTCATTGTTGACATGAAAGTTGAATAATTCTTCCATAGACATGGATTTTGTTTCTTAATGTTCAGTCCTATGTTTGCACTTTCTTCTATCAATTTCATCAGGAGTCATTTCAAGTCATTGCTGCTTTCTGCTAGTATTATTAGCATATCTGGAATTATTCATGTATCTTCCATCTATTTTCATTCCTTCTTTCTCTGGTCCTAATCCAGCTTTCCTTTTGATATATTCTGTGTAAAGACTAACGGGGTCCTCAAACTTTCTCAACAGGAGGCCAGCTGAAAGGTGCCGGAGATGGGTGCAGGCCACCAAGGTGGTGCAGGCGGGGGCACGGGTTGGGGGGGCATGCATAGGCATGCACACTGTGAAGCACCGGCTTGTTCGCAAGGAGATTGTTTTGGACTCACTCTGAGAAAATGATCTCCTTGTGAGCATTTTATCTCCCTGTTAGTTTAGTCCATGGGTCCTCAAACTATGGCCTGTGGGCTAGATCCAGCCTGCCATGACCATTTATTTGGCCTGCCATAGAGGTCAGATAGTATATTCCTCTTCTTTCATGTCTGAGTGTTTCATCTTAGGGTTTTCAAGGTAAGAAAGATTAAGTTAGGACCCCAAGGGTATGGAATGGGCTTCCACGAGAGGTCGTTGAGGCCCCATTGGTGAGGGTGTTCAAAGATAGGCTGGGCATGCACATGGTGGGCATGTCGTGAGTGGAGCTGGCTGGTGCCGGAGGTCAGACTAGATGACCCGGAAGACCCCTTCTGACTCACTCTGTTTCTATGTTTCTAAGTGATTTACATTGCCTTCTTCTGCACAATACTAATCAGAGTTAACTTGAGCTTTGCTGCTGTTTTCCATAAAAGATCCTCCCCCAGGATTGCTGATTTGTTTGGGTATTTTTACCCCATCCAATACCCAGTGGGTCAATTCAAAAAGGATACATCCTTCACAGGGTCTCTGTGAAATCCTTCACCTTTAATAACGACTGCTGCCCAATAACTGTCCTTCAGGAATTTCTCTACCTCCATCACCATTAGAGATATCCATTCTCTTCTGCTTATGTGAACATTACTCCTTAAGAGGGTGGATGCATTTTATTCTGTCTTATTTTATTTATCTTAGCTTTGCCATTCTACCTTGCATGATCCTGCTAGGAGGCCAGACTAGTTGAAAGAATCTGGCCTCCTCGTGCCATTGCTCTTGGCTTCTCTGACACTCTCAACCCCTCTCACCAAATTAAGATGTGCATCCAAGAGGGGTACTCCCTGACTACTAATTTTAATAGACAATGCAATCCTATCCAACACAGTTTGTATACCTACCCATGAAAAAGTTACAATTACATGTATTTTCATTTTATCTGGATTAAATTCGTTTACCTAAACATTCCCTCACTGTCACCAGTCCATGGTTCAGATTTTCCACCCCTCCCTAAGGTCTTCTGAAAGGGATAAATTAGTGTAATCAGAATACTGATGACAGAATGGTAGATAATTTCATCCACCAGTTTCACATAGACGTTAAAAGCTCTGGGGACAAAATGGTACTTGGAATCCTTCATAAGTCCACTGCCGTGGGACAGGGCAGTAGTCTGCCATCACCATCTTCTGGAAGCTACCTTCCAGGAATAAATGGAGCCCCTCCCAGTATTTGTACTCCTGGGATTAAAGAAAGAACATAGGTTTAGTATGACTAGCATGCTACATTCAATTTCCTGGATAACAAGTGGTGCAGAAATGATCTAACACAAAGGGAAGAATTAAGCATGATCAGTAAAGTACAATAAGGAATGTCACTAGTAATTTTCTTATCAGTTAGGTAAAGAAACAACACTTGTCAGGAGATTTTTTCCACAAGAACAGGAATATTTGATCTTATTCAGTTTTAAAAAGCAAGTAGACACCATTTAAAAATGTAATATTAGAACATAATAAAAATATGATTTCTGAACTTTTTGTGGCCACCCAGACCAGGAATATGGTTTTCAAGTAAGTTTAATAAAAGTTTGGAGCTTCTATAAATTACTCAAGAATTCCACAATATGTAACATTTTTAACCAAAAAATGAGGATATTCATGTTTACATACCAAGTTCAACAAATTCATACTGTCTACACTGAAATGACTCCTAATTCCTCATATACATACTTTTAGCCAGCATTTTACTGTTAGAATCATACAAGAGCTTTGCTTCCCCCCCCATAGATACTTAAATGCTTCACTTACTCTTATTTGTTTCTGCTCACTGTTCATCTGTTGAAAAACCACAACAAAATTAATATCAAAAAAGTTGTTGTTGTTGTTGTTGTTATTTGCAGTGGTGACCAGTAAGACGGTTCATTGGTGTGACGAATGCAGTTTTCAGATGGTGGGGGGAGTTATTTCCATCAGTACCATGCTAGTGTGAACTTGCTGCCTGGCCCTGGGTTAGATCCAATGCAGGAGTAGGCTGCTGCTATCACTGCGGTTTAGTAGTACTCAGTGACTATATGATCACACCAGGCTGCCTGAGAAACTACCTGCTTCCATTGCTACCCACTAATGGTTATCAGTAACGGTTCCTCTTTCACTCTTGATGGGCCTGCAATCACAGTTAGTAGGTTCTACCAAAGACCCATCTTACGGGGACTGTAATGCTAGACTTTTAAAGCTTAATATTCTTCTTGAAATAAATGTACAAGAATGAGCAACACTATTGATACAATTTTCTATTCAAAACACTAAACTTCTATGGATTTTTTTATAGGACTCTGCCTTAGTTAAATAATCTTCTGCATCTAGGTGAGTAACGGCCTAAGCCAGAGGCTACCAGTGTTCTGCTACAGCTGCTCAACAACTGAAAATGTTGTAATGTTCTAAGCTATTTTTCAGGTCTGAAGCAGTGCGACTCATTCTGGCAGTATTGTTCTACAAAGAGACACAAGCATTTTTTTAGAATGAGAACCAAACAGGAAAGGAGAACGTACAGAGTTTCCCTGCTGTGAGTTTTCAGACCAAAGAATCTCTTCAGAAATAGTGGTGGCAGTGACACTGTTCTCCCCACAAAGTTGCCACACCCTTTTATGTCTCAGACATACTAAAAACATCTGGGGATTATGTGTTTTTATTAAAACTTGCCTCCAAAATATAGGCTCTATAGGGGTGCTAGTTTATTAGCTTGTTTACTTGCAAAGTTTAGATATAACAGCTTGGCAAGATTTCTAAAGCAGGCCTGTTGCATGGTTTTCCTACAAAAGAAGAAAGCAAGGGAGGAGTCTGGAGATTAGGTTGTGTTCAAGGGGTCACTACATAGTCACTAAGCCTGAATAACAAAGACTGTGCTGTACTACTCTAAGAAAACACTCCAATGTTATAAGCAGAGTATTATATCTTACAGTAGATTAGAAACTTACAGTAAAAGGCAATTGTGGAATGGGAGGCTTGCGTTCTTGTTTAATAAATTCTTCAATAGCTGCTGCATAGTCCGCTGTTGCTTTGTTAAAACTGAAGCAAAATATATTGCTTGTATGAATATTGTGTACAATAACAGTATGAAATTATGTTAATGAGAAAGGATTAGATAAGCACCAAACCACTTGTCACGCATTATTTCACTCCTACTTTGAAATGCTGGTGTTTCCTTTCACAGAATTTACTTTCAAGTGAGTGGGCTTAGAATCACAATCCAAGGGAATTAATCACTTGTACAACACAGTCTGACAGCAAGATTTATATTTTCTGTTCTAAGAAAGGGATAAGCCTGGAATTTTAGATTCCTTGGCCAAACATTGGTGCGTACTTAAGCATGCATTTAGTACTCTGAACTTAAACACTTTATACAACATTTTTGCCAGTGACATAAAAGGAACATAAGATACTGCCTTACACCAAGGTCAAACCATTGGTCTACCTAAACTGGTACTGTTGACACTAACTAGCAGCAGTGATCTAGGTACATGGGCAGTTTTTCCATGTTGGAGATTGAATCTGACCTGTCTGCATGTAAAGCACATGTGCTGTCATGCTACTATTGAGCTACAATCCCTTCCCAAGAGACTGTGTACACAGTACAGGACTGTGTGCTGATGTACATGATTCCAGTTGTGAGACATTTGTAGCACAGTAGCCACAGTTGCAACATGCATATGATGGGATATGCCAACTGTTTTAACAGGTCTAGATTTTAGCTGTTTAAATTATTTAAGATGTTCTACATTGGAATTTTACACTGTATTTTACTGTATTTGTATTTTATTGTATCCATTTTTATTATTGTACCTCTGCTGATGAATTGTTGTGAACTGCCCAAACAGCTTTGGCTATTGGGTGGTACAGAAATGAAATTAATAATCACAATTACTACCTCTTCTCCTCCACAGAGCCAACTTGAGGAGAACCTAAATTTACACAAGATTTTACCAGATCTCATGACAGACAGTGCAGTGTAACACTACTTTGTATATTTATTATAATATTATTTATTTTATATTATGTTAGATATTTATATATAATACAAATTTATATATAATTTGTATCATGTCAGGTATTTATTTCAATAGACTTGAAATAGTTTATAAAAGATAATGAAAACAATAAACATCCAACTATAAAATGATAAAACAAAAAAAATACAAAACCAGTACTTTCATCTACTCTAAGAAATGCAAGTTAAATCTCATCCTTGAAGGGGACAGCTAGTTCCACTCTACCTTAGTCCAAGCACATAGCATGAAAGTAAGGTCTGGTAAACAGGATGAAAAATCTTTGAGTTGTCAAAATTATTTATTTATTTATTTATTTATTTAAACCATTTCTATGCCGCCCCATTTGCAAAAAGCCTCGGGGCAGCTTACAACATTAATAAATAAACATAAATAAACAGTTATATAATTAGACTTAGAAAACCGGAAACATCTCAGCACGTACATAAAAACCCAATAAATACAGTTCATAAATTAACAATTAAAATAACTTTTAAATAAAAAGGTCTTGGCCTGGCGCCGCAAAGCAAATAATGACGGCGCCAGGCGGACCTCTCTGGGGAGCGCATTCCGTAGGTGGGGCGCCACCATAGAGAAGGCCCTCCTCCGGGTACTGTCAAATTAAACTGTCAAACCAAATTAAGAGGTTTAAGTTTGAAGATACAAAATAGCACAAAAAGTAATAAAACAGCTTACCCTATATAACCCACACTAGACAAACTTAGAGAGCAATCCTATCATAATGTAGACTGCATCTGGGGTGCCACTGGATGCTGCAGACATAGACAAAGCATGGAGAAGATCCAGTTGTGGATTTTTCTCCCCCTCTCCTCCCCAGTTGTTTTAAAAAGCTTCTTTTAAGAAGCTGAAACTGCAACCTTCTATGGGGAGAAGGAGAAAAGTGGGTGGGGAAGGGAGCAGACAAGTCAAAATACATAATGTTCTAAGGCTTCTCCATTTCCTTCCATTCACTAAAAGGTAACAGCTAGATGGCCTGAAAAGCCAATCTATCTGTTTCCAAATACAGGAATGAAGGCCACCACCTGGTTATTGCTGGCAAGGCATGAGAAGTCTCTGGACTCAGAGTCCTCAGTCTATTAGAAGTGCAACCCATAGGACTGCGCTGTTAAAGAAGAATATCTTACTTACCTGTGAGGAACAAGGATTGGCCATAGTGACAAATATTTTTGCATGGAATTTTCTCTATTTTTAAAACGTATGGGGTTGGGGAGAGATTTATGAAAAGCAAGCATGCATGGAAGCTAGAATGATGCAGGCTATTCTCTGAGCCCTGCAGAGAATGTATCACTTAGAAGTGGAGCTGTTCCTTGCCTAATACGCCTATGTATAGCACATAAAAGATAGAGAAAGATATCTTACATTATATTATTAAGCATCTTTTGCTGTTCCTTGACTCTTCGGTATTTCATGAGCTTTTGCTGTTTTTCAGTTAAACCTCTGGATGTGGAAGGCAAAGCGATAGGTGGTAATCGAATGTTCCATGTATCATCATCATCATCATGAGAGGCATCTGACGATTTGCCTGGAGCAGCCATCTAAAATAACAGGCCAACTATTTTGAGTAGACATTAAAAATGGTCCAATTATTAAACTACATTTGTACAACAACCAGGATATGACAGCATTCATTGCTGCAGCAGAACTGAAACTGCAATTTTAATGTTGGCTATAAATAAGCTTTAGTCTATTATGTTACGTGCAGTGAGATGGAAGGAAGACACAACTTAAGTGCTCAGTCATTCCTGAATATGACTGAAAGCTGTGAGCAAGGAACTAAAATTTACATGCATATGAAAACTGATCTCAATATATATAAAAGCCAATTCCCAACATTTCATACCAGTCCAGACAAGAAAGAAACAGAACCCAGTTATGTAGATAAGGGCTGTCTGATTTCTCTAAGACTTTTCCTGAGTACTAGGGAAGAAATTAAATAGGTTTCAATATGGATAGGTACCATTTAGATCTCAAATGGTGTTAAATGAACCATGAAAGAGATATCAGTGCTGTTGTAGATAAGTGGAAACAAATGATCAATGAAAAAGGCAAATTATATGCTTGCTAGAGATTATTAGGAAAGAAATTGAAACCAAAATTACAAAAGTTATCATGCCATTATTTACTACATTTATATATAGCCCTATAGCAAAGCTCTATGGGAGGTGCAAACAAATTCAAACCATAAAATAAGACATGAAATATGACATAAAAGTTTAAAACTACAGTATAAAATAGAAATCATGATCAAAATAAACCCTAGTAGTGGTGCAAAAATTGAAAATAAGTAATAGATTTAAACAGTGCTTTTTTTTGTTAAAAAAAAAAAAAAAAGGTGCCGGAACGCTGTTCCGGTGCGTTCTCTGACAAAAAACGGCCTGGATTTAAAACAGAAATTTAAAAACTAAATGCCTGGGAAAACAAGACCTTCACCTAGTGCTGAAAAGAGAACAACATAAGTGCCAGGCAGGCCTCTCTGAAAAGTTCATTCCACAACCAGGATGCCAGAACCCAAAAGGCCCTCTTCTTAGTAGCCATCACCTCATTTCTTTTGGTGGGGGCTTCTCAAGAAGGACTGTTGCAGATACTCTCAGGGTCTGGGCAGGTGCATATGGCTGGAGGCAAGTTCCGGGTGAGCTGGTCCAAGTAGTTGATCCTTATTATTTCACAATAATAAAAATGTAATAACATGTAGTAGCAGTAGTAATAATAAGTACATTTATACCTTCCTTTCCTTCTCCTGCAAGAATCCCAAGGCAGACAAAAAACTTCTCC